TGCTTCTTCCTCTGATGATGCCGTATTCCAGGGAGACACCTCACCAACTGACGACCTAAAGGACTTCCAGAACCTGTTCAAAAGGATTGCTGAAAGCCAGAAGTTCTAAGTGGGAGAGGTCCAGCAGAAATAATATCACCTGCTGAGGAACCTGCATCTATCCCACTTATTGAAGGTTGCCCTCCCATTGGACGAGGCAATATTGGAGATAGCCAATGACATCTGGCAAACTCCAGCCTCTGCTCCACCCACCAACAAAAAGAGCGGACAAGAAGTACTTTGTCCCAGCCAAGGATACGGAGCTCTTGTTTAACAATTCTCAACCGAACTCCCTCGTTGTAGATGCTTTCCAACAAAGAGCCAAAGCACCTCAGTATAAAAATACCTCTGGAGACAAGGATAACAAGAGGCTCGACCTATTAGGCAGTAAGGTGTACTCCTGCTACACTGACACTCCACATGGTTAATTATTCGGCCTTGCTGGCCAATCACAACTTTGATAATTAAGCCAAACTTATCGCTCTTCTTGAACATCTTCCAGAGGTCAACTGCCAAGTCCTGAAGGCGATCGTACAGGAAGGATACACCTCTTCCCATTCAGCGCTCCATATTGCCTTGGACACAGCCACATCCATGGTCATGCATAGGGCTTCATGGCTCCATATGGCGGCAGTCCCCAAGGAGTTCCAGAATAAGGTGGAGGACTTACCCTTTGATAGGCAATGCCTCTTTGCGGATAAGACCGATCAAGTCCTTCACTCTGGGAAAGACTCCTGTACAACATTAAGAACATTGGGGATGTATATGCCACCTTTAAGGCAAAGACGGTATGCACCCTACCAGAAACAGAGGCCTTTCTCCTATGTGCCACCTCAGGCTAGACAATATGACCCTCAGAGAGTAAGGCGTCGTCGTCCCCAGGCGCCTAAACCAGGCCATCACCAGTTAAGCAAGCAGCAGGTTTGACAGGAACATCGAGGGATTGCATGCCATCCAGTTGTTGCCCAGCGGCAATGTCACCAAACTGCTCTTCCACCATCGTTTGAGTCCCTTTCAACATCACTGGGCTGCAATAACATCAGACCGATGGGTCATGCAGCTTATAACATCAGGCTGCGTGATCCCATTCGTGTCCCCACCTCCTTCCACTCCTCCTTTTCCCTCCCTTTTCAGGGACCCATCTCACGAACCTCTTCTCACATAAAAGCTGGCCCACCTACTTGACATAGGAGCAATAGAGAGGGTTCAGGAGGTGTTCGAAGGCAGGGGTTTTTACTCCCACTATTTTCTAACAGAGAAAAAATCAGGGGGCTGGAGACCCATTCTCGACCTTCGACAGCTGAATCAATATCTCCGCAAGCAACGCTTCAAAATGGTGACACTAGCAACGATTATACCGGCACTGGAACAAGACAACTGGTTTGCATCCCTCGATTTACAGGACGCTTACTTCCATATTACCATTCACCCAGCATACAGATGATTCCTTCGTTGCCTAGTAGGCAACAACCATTACCAATACAAGGTCCTTCGAGTCGGACTATCGTCAGCCACGACATGCACAGGATGGTGACAGTACCCACCATAGGCAATACCTGAACTGGTGGACTATTCCTCACAATGTGTTGACAGGTATATCATTCCACAGTTCAGCTCACAACAGATGTCTCCTTGCTGGAATGGGGAGCACACATGCAAGGCAGCCAAGTCCAAGTCCACTGGTTCCCCGAGGAATCCCTCCTCCATATACACCTCCTGGAGCTACGAGCTATCTGCAGTGGCTGCAGACACTTTCTCTCGCTTATTCGCAAACAAGTGGTGAGGATACTAATGGACAACATCACAACAGTTTATTACATAGACAGACATGGGTACACCTCCTGGAGCTACGAGCTATCTGCAGTGGCTGCAGACACTTTCTCTCGCTTATTCGCAAACAAGTGGTGAGGATACTAATGGACAACATCACAACAGTTTATTACATAGACAGACATGGAGGAGCTTGCTTACACTCCCTTTGCATGGAAGTGGTCTGTCTGTGGAATTTCTGCAGACAAAACAACGTGACCCTCACAGCAGCCTACCAGCCAGGGGAAGACAATATCATGGTACATGCACTCAGCATGCGATTTTCCCAGCAGCACGAATGGGAAATACACCCGCACGTACTTCGTGCTATATTTGACAAATGGGGTCACCCAGCCGTCAACCTCTTTGCCACTCAGTACAATGCAAAATACGTACAATATTGTTCGAGGGCGGGCATTGGTCAAGCATTCAAGGGCGATGCTTTCCTCTACAACTGGGGTCATCATCTATTGTATGCATTCCCAACCGTCATTTTTACCTAAGGTTAATTCTTCCTTCCACATAAATGAACCGATTATTCTACTCATATTCTATCTGAAACCTCACGCTTTGGAGCGTCAATCAAGACTACACTCCCTTGACGTCCGCAGGGCCTTGGTTTTTTACATCGAAAGGACTTGCGAGTTGCAGAAGTCACAACATCTCCTGATTTCGATGGACTGTCGCTCCAGGGGTTGCCCACTCTCCTCACATCGAATTTCCAGATTAATCGTCTCCTGCATCAGATGCTGCTATGAGTTAAGGAATGTTCCACTTCCACACACCCTCACGGCCCATTCCACTAGAGCCATGGCCACCTCAGAAGCTTTCCTCAAGGGAGTTTCCCTAAAGGACATTTGCTGAGCGGCCACCTGATTCTCGGACTTCACATTTGCAAAACGCTACGCTCTACAAAACATTCTTGTGACTGATGCAGCTCTAGCCACCACAGTACTTTCCATGGCAGCAACCCAGTGACTCCAAATTCGCCTTACTCCAGCTACTGCTGTAAAGTCACCCACAGTGTAGCACCCATGGGGAAACTACCCGAAGAAGAAGTTACCTTGTGCAGTAACAATGGTTCTTCGAGGTGTCCCCCCCCCCATGGATGCTCCATTACTCATCGTCCTCCCCTCTTTGGAGTCTGTTCTTTATGTCTTTCAGACCTTGATGATTAGGAGAAACTGGCGGGAGCCTAACCGCGTGACTGAAAACGGTGCGAAAAGCTGCAAGATGGCCACCGGCCATGTGCAGTCCGGTGGACAACAGCTAAAAGATCTCTAATCTGCGGTGCCAGGACGAGCCCGACACCCACAGTGGAGCACCTACGGGGGGGACGCACCTCGAAGAACCATCGTTGCTGCACAAGATGAGTAACTTCTTCTTGCAAGGGATAAGCTCCCTCCTCCATCAGTGAGCCTTAAGGTGGTATCACCTCAATACTGGGGGAAGGACTGGTTCACAGCTCTTGACCTAAAGGATGCCTACTTCCATATAGAAATACCACCTCTTGTAGGTCCAAACCACCAGGAGTACCAGCTACTGCCATTTGGCTCTGCAGTAGCATCAAGAGTACTTTGAAAAGTGGTCAGCAGTCGCATCTCACTTTTGGACTCTCGGTTCATCTGTCTTCCCTAATCTCAGTGATTCCCTAGTGATATAGAGATCTCAGTGGGAGATATGGATAGCAATATCATCCCTGCTTTTTGCTGGATTTTGCATAAACATAGATGTCTCTCGTTAGTTCCATCATAGACTAGTAAGTTTATTGGAATACCACTGAACTCTGTTAGTGTCAAGGAATATCTTCTTCAGAACAAATTGCAGTCTATAAAGGATCTGTTGGGCTCATACATCCTACAAATGTCAGTTTGTTCATGCCTCATCCACCTAAATCACATGGATTCCTGCACCTGTGTGATACCCTTGACAAGGCTTTGCCTTTCTTGCCTGCAGCCTTGGCTTTGAAAAGTGTATGCAGTATATGGTCAAGTTAGTCTTGTTCCCTCATAGAGCGTGAAATTCTGTAGTGTGATGGGGGAACAGACGGAGCCACCTGAGAAAACATTGGTCATAGATACTTCACTGTTGTTGTAAGTAGGGTGCCAATCCAAAAGAGCATACAAGGCAAGGGACATGGACTGCCTAAGAGCCCAGGATGCACATATAAACCTACTAGAACTGCAAGTTTACAAGTCCTGCAAACCATTCCTACCACTCTTGTAAACCTGCCGCATTTCAGTGATGTCAGACCGCATGACAACAGTTTTCTACATCAGTAAAAAAGGCAGTAATGAGCTCCCCTCCCCCTGGCCAGATCCCCGCTCCACCACCTGCCCCAGCACCTTGTCTCAGTGCTCTGTTCCCTGCCCCCAGTTGGGGCCACATTAGTGAGGCTTGGGGTTTTTTGGAGTTGTTTTTTTGCATCTCACTTGTGTGGCCCTGACTGACTTTTCTGTGGGTCAGCGACCCCTTACTCAATGAGATCCCTCTCTGTTAATCTGAGTTATTGGTAACTAAGTAATGGACATTGCTGGTAAAAATCTTCCAACTTCAGGTGCATGGGGCACTTGCATACTCTAGATGGAATAGACAAGGTAAGTAACCTCTTTTACAACATTTGTACTACTACACTTTGACTACTGTTTCACAAAACTTCTTGGAAGCTCTTCCTGATATTCAATATGAATTTTCCCTTTTGTAATATTTTCAGTTACCCCTGCTTGAAGGAATAAACCCTCCCTGAACTCACTGCCAGTTCTGTTATTTCTTACCTGATACAGAATAATAGGAGGAGGGATGCCTAATGAAAGTCAGCCAGCCATTTGTATGAATGAATTCTACATTCCATGTTCTATGTAAAAAGGACTTCTACCATATTTGGCAATATTGGTAGTTTAAGTATATAGAATATTAATATTATGTGAAAGTATTATCACAATGTTCCAGCATGATGTTTTTGTAGGGTAGCTCATAAAACTTATTGTCCATGTAAATATATTTCTTGTATATTGCATTTACTATGTACAGTATGAAAGTGATACAAAGTCTTCCCTCATCAGATATATCCTTATGCATGTTGTGTAATTTGAAGTAAAATCCGTTTAGGACAATGATGTTAATATGTAGCTTTTATTGCCATTTTGCTTAAGGTTATGCCGGAAAAATCAGCCAGATGCCAGTAATTTTGACACCATTGCATTTTGACCGAGACCCCCTACAGAAACAACCTTCCTGTCAGAGATCGGTGGTTATTCGAACCTTTATCACTAGTGACTTCATGACAGGCATTGCAGCCACTCCTGGCAATGAAATCCCAGAAGAGGTAATAGTTCATTTGTAAAATATGTTTATTTTTTATGTGACCTGAACCCAAGATGATTTTCACATGGTCTGTTTTGTTGCTTTTTGGGAGGGTTTTTTTGGGGAAAAGGGAATGATTTTTACCTAAAACTTTAAAACGTTAGTAAATATTATGTGAAATTTGACTCCTGATTACTATTTTGATTTGTCAGTATATTCTGACTGGAGGGATCCCTGCCATACAATAAGCCCATAAGGATGTTTCGAGCAGTTGGTAAAACAAGGAACAGTCGTAAAAAGTCCCCCTTCTTAAGAATATTCATCAAAACCTTCAAGCCATAGGTTATTTATTTCAGTGGGAGTTGTAGTTGTTCAGCACTTCAAAAAACCTGACTAACTTTAGTTAGGTACATACACATAGATTTAGGACCCTATGTTTAGATACTCTCTTTGCATATTTTGGTCATTTTCACCATTTTCATGTAGTGCGAAGCTTTATTAAAAATATGGCATGTGTAAAGAATGGTTTAAATCTTACTCTTTCGAGTTTCTTGGGTTTACTATTTGTCATTGTCTCAATGCTAATTCACACATTAAATGATTAGAAATAATTATTGCATAGGTCAGAGTAGCATAAATATGATTATAAATTCTTTGACTTGGTTCAAGGAAGTCTTTTGTAATAGATTTAAAAAACATAGAGACTGTGTCTAGACTGGCAAGTTTTTCCGCAAAAGAAAAACTTGCCAGCTGTCTACACTAACCGCTTGAATTTATGCAAGAACACTGACGATCTCATGTAAGATTGTCAGTGTTCTTGAGGAAATGCTGTGCTGCTCCCGTTCTGGCAAAAGCTTTTGCGCAAGAGGGCCAGTGTAGACAATGCAGTATTGTTTTGCGCAAAAAAGCCCCAATTGCAAAAATGGCGATCAGGGCTTTCTTGCGCAAAACCGCATCTAGATTGGCACGGACGCTTTTCCGCAAAAAGGAAAAGCGTCTGTGCCAATCTAGATGCTATTTTCCGCTAATGCTTTTAATGGAAAACTTTTCCGTTAAAAGCATTTGCGGAAAATCATTCCAGTCTAGACGTAGCCAGATGGTTTAATATATTTGCATTTTAACAATTCTAGTGTACAAATGGGGAGGGTCTTCATTTTATTTGAGAGTATAAATTTCTAATTTAAAGTCTTAAATACGTATTTTGTGCTATATATAAAGCTTTGATGTCTCATAATATTGAATAATAACATTGTGACAAAATAGTATTGAAAGTGTGGAAGAAATGTACACCTATGGAAGTAATTGCAGTTGATTTAAAATTTCAGTTGCTTTAGGAGAGCAATATTGTGTTGTGCCATGTGGATTTGTATATTAATATAGAATACACACTAAGAGGATACCTGAAACAAAATACATAATTCATCTTCAAAAAGTGTCCCTATGGGTCCTCCACTGTAGGTGTTTTGGTGCCCTGTACTTATAATCAGAGATTTATAGCAGTAGTACCGTGGATGGCAATGTGTTTATGGTGCCGTCTTGCAATGCTGTGAGTGATAACCAGTGCACATAGAATCATAGAATAATAGGACTGGAAGGGACCTCGAGAGGTCATCGAGTCCAGCCCCCCGCCCTCAAGGCAGGATCAAGCTCCGTCTACACCATCCCTGACAGATGTCTATCTAACCTGTTCTTAAATATCTCCAGAGAGGGAGATTCCACCACCTCCCTTGGCAATTTATTCCAATATTTGACCACCCTGACAGTTAGGAATTTTTTCCTAATGTCCAATCTAAACCTCCCCTGCTGCACTTTAAGCCCATTACTCCTTGTCCTGTCCTCAGAAACCAAGAGGAACAAATTTTCGCCTTCCTCCTTGTGACACCCTTTTAGATATTTGAAAACCGCTATCATGTCCCCCCTTAATCTTCTTTTTTCCAAACTAAACAAGCCCATCATCAGCCATCCCTCAGTTCCTTTTCTATTGCCGTAGACTTAGGTCTGAACACAGCAGCTCTCCTCACTACGTATTTTCCAGATAAGAGAGCCCCTTTTTCCATGTTGCTCTTTTTCCGCCAGGTTTCCTCACTGTTCCCCAGTGATTTCATTAACCTATTATTTAAAATATAAATTATTTAAGTTTCCCTCCTTTTCTCAGTACCTTCCCTTCATGGGGTCTCCACCATGCCAAGCTTCTCCTTTTTCAAAAGATTCCTTGCTTCCAGGTTCTCCATTCCAGTTTCAGATGGCGATGTCCAGTGCATTAGATGCTTTGGAGAAGCTCATGTCCCACAAAAATGCCCCAATTGTAAAAAGCTTTCAGCGAAGTCTCTTAAGGTATGGGATCTTCAAATAAAACTGCTCCCCCTAGAGAAATTGCTAAGACTAGCTTGTGAATCAGAGTATCAGACCTTGCCGCTTCAAAAATCACCTACAGCAACCTCGGATCAGGGTTACCGTCCTCAGGACCCCGCCAACTAAAAAAAAACCTTTAACAAAAAAGACAGTCATTGCCAGAGAAAGATTTCCCTTCAAAAAAGTGCTCACCAGCAGCAAAGTCCACCTCAGTACCACCAACGACACCATCTTTATCAGACACCAGGCATGTCCGGTACACACAAGTCCTGAGGGGGTAAGGTGTCTAAACAGCCATGCCCTCCAACAGGCTCAAAATCTAAGAGCAAGACAGGCTGTTCCAATGCCTAAGGAACTGGCAGCACCGCAGATGCCTGCACTGACGGCACCAAAGAAACTTTCTGCGCAGGCTGCCATGCTTTTGGCACAGAATGTCTCATTACTGACAATGACACTGAGCTTTACCGTACCACGGCCACTTACTTCCCATGTGGATTTGGCCATATCCTTGGTACTAGGCACTCTGCTTTTCGGTACCGATGGTACTCGTATGTACCAGGGCTTAGGAGACTAATGGCACCGACTAGCTGTGCCCCGCCCTTTTCAAGTGACGATAATGAATATGATGAAACCCTGTCATTCATCTTCCAAATCTACCATGCACCCTCAGCAGCCTCAGATGCCAGGACAAGTCTGGTAACCATTTCCGTGAATGCCACCAATTCCGCTCCCTACCACTTGGCCAAATTGGAACCCATGGGCTCAACAATCTGCTTTTTCACAAGCAATGATTCTTCAGAGACAAGAGCTCCTCTCCTAGCCCCATTTGGACACACTCCAAGACGTCACAGAGGCTTGGAGGATGTACAGGAAAATGATGCCATGCTTCCTACACATTTATCATCATCACCGGATGAGACTATCATGTCCCACCCCCTAATACAGGAGACAATTTCAAATCATTCCAAGACCTCTTCAAAAGGATAGCATATTCATTGGACATCCCTCTTGCAGAGGTACCCAAAACACAGCATAAATTGACTGATATCCTTCAGGCCTTCTCTTCTTCAAAGATAGCCTTGCCAATAAGTGAGACCATCATGGATGCTGCCAAGGCAATCTGGCAAACCCCCATGTCCATCCCATCTTCTTCTAAGTGGTGTGGCAGAGTCAATCCCACTCCTGGACCCCTAGCCCCTGGACAGGCCACTGTCCCACAATTTAGGAGTCGCCGTATAAGATTCACTCTCCTTGTCTTGGTGTTTGTCGTCTCCCTGCAGCCTTTATCAGGGCTGCTGCTGCTCTACTTGGCTCCTCCGGTTTCTTTATCAGTTGTCTTTCTCCACATTCCAAACCTCTCCTCGCTCTCCAAACTCCTTGTCAACACTCCAGACTCTTTGTCAACACTCTCCTCCCTCCACCTGCAGGGAGGGTTTTTAAAAGAGGCCTCCTGGCAGCCCCAATCAGCTTCACCTGGACCTTAATTGATTTGCAGCCACCCTGTCTCAGCTGCCCCTAATTAACCAGGATTGCTGCCTCTTTCTGCAAGAGCTGCCTCTCTCCCCTTCCACCAAGCCCTTTAACCTGCTCTATCCTACCTGCTCTGTCACAGCGGGCAGACTGAAAGTATTCTGTGCTGGCTAAAGAAGCTGAATTCCTCTTTTCCCATCTTACCCCAAATTCTCTCGTCATTGATGCGGTACATCATAGGGGCAAGCAGACCCAGTTCAAAACAACCCCCAGGACAAGAATTGGAAGAGGTTATGCATCTTCGGCAGGAAAACGCATACTTCTTCTTCGGGGATGTCCCTGCGGGTGCTCCGCTATGGGGTGCTGGGCTTGCCCCTGCGCTGCAGATGGAAGCTTGTGATGAGCAGTGTTCGTCCAGACCGCGCATGTGCTGCAGGCCCGCGGCTTTCGCGATCTTTTCTGTCTTGCACGGTGTGGCCCCCCTCCAGTTCCTCTTTACCACCTCAGGCTGCAGATGGTTGGAACCACACTCCTCATTTCACTCACTGAACTAGATTCCTTGTAGTTCCCCCATGTACATACACCTCTATTTCCTCTTTCCTTTGTTTTTTTCCTTATTTCTTAAAAAAAAAAAAAAAAAAGAGAGAACTACTAAACGGGAGTAAGAATGGAGACTGCATACTGTTCTTACCTCCCGCCTCTCAGCTGTTCTCTTGTCCGCTCCTTGTATATAGTTGTGTTCCCCTTTAAAAAAAAAGGGGGGGGGAGAGAGAGAGAGAAGAGATAAAGTCAACAGAGACATTATCACTATATTACCATTACTTTAGAGATAAAACTATTAATACTCAGACAACTAAATGTCTCTCCACAACTGCAAACAAGAACTGCCTCAGGGCAACCGGCAAAATGTCAGCTACCGGCTTCCAAAAATGCGGCTCTTGCCAGGAGGCAATGCCAGCCTCCAATGGCCACTCGAAGTGCATCCGTTGTCTGGGGGAATCTCATGTCCCCCAGAAGTGAACCCACTGTACCAGGCTCACCTCCAGGGCTAGAAAGGATAGAGAGAGAAGCGCATTCGCAGGCGCCTTCGATAAAGCCCTGCAGCCGCAACAAACCGAATCTGACCAGCAGCCCCACAAGTGCCGGGCTTCCTCCCCGACTACGGGGCTTCAGAAAAAGCCCAGGATCTCTCCCACGAGA